AGCGGCAACACCAGGTTACAGACAAAGCAACGAATTTGTCTTCTAGTGTTTCCAGCAAGCCAGTACTTTAAATAACAAAGTGTGAAACGTTTCTGCTCTCAGGTTGCATCACACAGCACAGAGTGCAGTAGTTTCAGCACAGGTGGTCAGCCACATCAAAACCAAGTAAAATTCACACACACATTTAAACAGTCACCAACAGAAATGGAATTAAAAGAGGGAAGTATAGTGAAACAAGACATACATTTCATACTATACACTTTTGGAGGCCCTGAAATGTCTTTTTCCAAACACTCAGTAGAATTTCTGTGCAGAAGTACTGCCAAGTGTGCACCTGAACACTCACATTCACAGGTTCAGAGCTGACAATGTAGAACTTGCCCCCAGTACTGCCACTGCAGTTGACGGGTGACCCAAAGTCACTCTTTTGATTGCAGCTACACCAACTCTGAAACAAAACGCCATGGATCAAAAACAGCTGGCATTTTCAACTTCTCCATAATCCACTATTCTCCACCACTTAAGCAACAGTTGTATTCAAAAGAGAAGTTAAACAGGGTTAAATCTCATTAATCCAACATAATTTCCCTGTCTCCCCATTCATTCCTCCCCCAACACTCACACAATAATCTACTATACTTCCCCCACCCCGCAGATCAGCTTACAAGGGATTCAGATTAAAGTGTGGGCTATTAATTGAAACTGGTCTAAATCTCTTCACACCATTTCAATGAAATTCCATTTTTTAACTCACACCAAACAAGGAATTTGAAATTATAAAAGATTACCACAACAGATTTCTGGGACATGACAATTTACATTCTTTGTGAAGTCTGGTGTATTAAAAGATGACTGGAAGAAACACAGCTTGCAACTTATGCCAACAGATATGAGATAAAGAAAATCCATTAAACTGCTGCTGGCCGAATAACTAAGAAACAAGTTTAAGCAGCCTGACTGATACAGTTTGGACAGTTCAACAAATGATCCATATTATAAGAGAGATGGCATTTATGGGTACATACTGTGCCATTTTAAATAATGTAAAGCATGTAACAATCCCAGGTTTTATGCCATAGTGAATGAAACGTGACCTGCAGTCTGATATTCACAGTAACTTTCAAAACATGAGCTTAAGGAATTAATTAAAGTCTTCAAATAAGTTCACAATATGCAGAAGTGTACTGACAATAAATAAACTCACATGCCACATTTGTTACATTAACTCAAAAGAGGTAAAAAGAGGTACTGTCTCATTGTACTCCCATTATTTTCCCAATATCTGATGAATGCAAAAGATCTGATCTGTAGTTGATATGTTACGTCAAAACCCACATTGATCATCCCCAGTAATTTCATCTATATATGAACTTAACCTCTATATTCAAGATCTGTATTTCAAGACACACTTGAACTTCTGTAGGGTAACAAGTGGCCGTGGAGGAGCATGCATTTATGTAAAAAGAGGTTTAGAAACAAAAGAAGGTAATTATTTCCAAGATATTAATGAGGAAAGAATTTTGAAATGGTGGTGATAGAATTGTTGGGTTATAAAATTATTGTAATTTGTATATATAGATCACCTGATGGAAATTTTAAAGAATTTTTAAGGAGCTGGAACTTGTGATAAAAAAATTAAGTTTGAAAGGAAAACAGTTAATCTTATGTGGGGACTGGAATATTAATTTTTTTGCAGGGGCGTGTAAAATTAAATGAACTAAAAATCTTTTGCATGTATATAATTTGGTAAATACAGTGGAGGTTCCGACTAGAGCTACAAAGAATACTAAATCATTGATTGATGTAATCATAAATAATAGTAATTATACAAAACCATCAGTAGTAACGGATCTAGGTTTCTCAGATCATTATGCTCAAGTATTATCTATATGTATTGAGAATTTTGTAATGAGACCATTAAACGCTGGGAGGAGAATGTTTAATGAAGGAGGCATGGAAGAACTGCAATATATTTTAAGCAAAGAATCGTGGGAAGATGTGTTTTTAGAATCCAATGTAAATGAGAATTTAAGGTTTTTATGGATAATTTCCATTATTACTTTTGTTGGTTGGCATTGATGATTCGAGGTGATTATTTTGAATAAAACTCCGATTCACTTGGATATTACTCTTTACTACATCTTACTGTACATTTTTGTCTTACACACAGACACTGGAAGCCCACAGCAGTGGACCCACTCACCAATTACTGTGCCATCTCTTGGCTTACACCAATACTCACTTTCATGAAAAATTGCACTTCCAACAACTTTGATATGGTTTTCCCCTTAAAATTATTTAACCAGAGTAAACAACAAAATAAAGGTTGGGTTACTCAGGGAATAGGAAAGTAAAGCAAATGGATGAGTTGGTTGAATAGTTTGCAAAAGAGAACAAATCTTACAGAAAAAGAACAATAGTATATACATAAATATTGAATGATATATAAGAGAGTAAATAAAGGAAGCTAAGAAGAGGGAAAATGATAGGTATATAGCTAATGCAAAAAAACAAAACTAGAGTAATGTAGCAAATAGTGAATAAGGAATTAGGGAAAAACCTGCAAAGGGAACTGGGAATAGAACTAAAGTGCGGGACAAGGAAAAAGGCTAATCCACAGCATATAGCTGAAATCTTTAATTTATATTTTGCGGACATAGTAGGAAAGCTTGTAAAGCAAAATAATAGTACGATATTGTGCTGTAAAGCACCACAGAGAATAAATACCTGTACTGAAACCATGTTTATTTGTCCAGTGACAGAAAACGAGATATTAGAAGTGGTGAAGAAATTTAGGGGGGAGCTTTCAGCAGGTACTGATGAAATAATGGATTATGTGGTTAAAAAATGTATAGAAGTGGTTAACACGCCATTAGCCCACATTTATAATTCCCCTCTAGAAGCAGGTATTTTCCCAGAGAGATTTAAGATAGCAAAGGTAAAAACACTTCATAAAAAGCGAGACAAGAAGGATATGAAAAATTATAGACCAATATCCATTTTGTGTGCTTTCTCGAAAATCTTGGAAAAGTTGATGCATAATAGGTTACTCTCCTTTTTGACAAGAAATACCATATTAACAGAGGTCCAACATGGATTTAGGATGAATACATCGACTGAGACTGCAATTTACTCTTTTCTAGCAAACATACAATAATCAGCTGAGAAAATAGAAAAACAGTTATATTTTAGCGTCCTGTTGCACTGATTTAAGTCCATGATTTATTTAATCCGTCTTGCAGTGCATACACTCATTTATCTCCTTCTCTCCCTCGCACTACATGTTTCGGCATAATAATGCCATCTTCAGGTGCTTACTTATCCACGTCAAACCAGTTCATTGCATGCCATGTTCACACATTAAAATAACTAAAATATGTATCTATCATATACATTGTCAAACGTTAAAAATATTAAAATTGTTCAGGATACCACATCGCTACGTCGCCCCTCACTACATCAGTCACGCCCATTCTCCTTTGTTGGAGCACTCCTTCATTATCTTGTGTGTCTGTAACGTGAATTTTTTATTCATTAATACCGTGTTCCGTATTTTATTTAATACTTGTGGTATTATAATTTTTTAATAATACTTACTGTGCTTTTGTTGTGTCGTGCTCCTGCATGTAGTGCGAGGGAGAGAAGGAGATAAATGAGTGTATGCACTGCAAGACGGATTAAATAAATCATAGAAAAACAGGTTGGAATTTTTTGTGATTTAAATGAAGTGTATGATGCCATAAATCACGACACCTTACTTTCTAAATTACAGACATATGGAGTTAGAGGTGTGGCAAACTTATGGTATAAATCATATTTGGCTTACTGGAAGCAAGTTGTTGAAATAAGTTGTGATGACAAAAAATATACATCAGCTCCAAGAGAAATTAAATATGGACTACCACTGGGTTCAGTGCTTGGACCATTATTATTTTTATTATACATAAATTATCTGCCTTTGAATATCAAAGAGGCGAAGATAGTTTTGTTTGCAGATGATATAAATATTTTGGTAACAGCTGAATCCTGCAGCAAAAGATAAATAAAGTCATGAATGAGTTATATGGATGGTTCAATGCAAATAATCTCATACTGAATACTGAGAAAACAATAGCAATGGCATTTCATAATAGACAAGAAAGAGATTTGATGAAACCTCAAATCAAATTTGGTAAAATGGAGATCTCCTATAAATGTGAAACAAAATTTCTAGGTATGCATGTTGGAGTGGAAAGCACATATGATATTCTTAAATTCAAAACTTTATAAAGTCTGTTACATGATAAAATCCCTTAGGGATGTAACAAGCCGACAGGTTATAAGGAGTATTTACTCTGATCACTTCCATGCTTATTTGAAGTATGGTTTAATTTTCTGGGGTAGCGACCCAAAAAGTAAAATTATATTTAAATTGCAGAAACGAATTGTTAGAATAATTAGTGGTGTGAGTAGATTAGCATCATGTAGACAACTTTTTAAGGATTTAAACTTACTTCCACTACCCTGTATGTACATATTTGGAATAGTATGCCATGTTGAACTACATTTAGAAAAGTTAGAACAAAATAACGTAGTTCATAATCACAATACACGCCAGAAGTTAAATCTCCATGCTCAGTTTTGCAGAACAAATGCCTGTAAGAAAGGAGTACTGAACATGGGAATAAAATTATACAATAAAATACCAAATAAAATTAGGGAGATAGAAAAAATGAGACAGTTTAAAAAAGTAATGAGGTCATATTTGGTACAACATACGTTTTATTCTATAGAGGAATATATGTTAAATTAAAGATGGTATGTTTGCGAAAGGGGAGGCATTTATTTTTAATTATAGAAATTGAACTATTTATGTTTAATGTGTATGGAACGTTTCCTATGACAGTGATCTGACGAGGAAGGAAGAATGGATTGATTGATGTGAAATGGATTGAACTGGTTACTCTGTTGGGGAATTTATGTTGTCTTAAATTTCTGATATAGTTTCATATGGTATGTTGGACATGTACACAATTTGTGTATGTAGTTAAATATTATAGTATTGTTGACTTTTATACAAATAATTTGACTAGTTCTATATATGGAGTCTGTATTGGAAAATGTGGATTTCTGGAACCAATAAAAATATGAATATGAAGTGCTAAAGGTTGAACTTGCCTACATTCTGTTAACAGGATACTTTGTTGATGTCCATTTTGTCAGATGCTTGTTTCTTTTTGTCATATTTTATTTGGAAATTTAAAATCTTGAATCTTTCTCAGTCATTTGACAGTGCACTGGAGGACACATTTTAATTGCAGTCATCTAGTACATTATAAAAAGCAATGTAAATACTAGGAGGAGATTCATAAGCCAGAATTGTGAAGGTTTAATAATTTTTACTCTGTGTTGCCTGACAGGCTGACACCGTTTAGAAAGTGCTTGGTAATGAAGCTTAGTGACTTTGGA